GGGATGGCCGGTGCGCTCACTGACTGAGCGCGGTGTGGGCGACACCACACCAAGGGTTGCGATCCCCTTACCAGTCATGAAAAAAGACAAAAAAAAAAAAAAAAAAAAAAAGCTCAATAACTGTTGGCTGCATGGATGAAGGAAACCATTGAAACCAAAGCACTTCAGCTATCACCTCACTTACTCAGCAATTTTTTTTTTTTTTTTTTGCCTGTGTGTACAGAGATCAAGCCCAAGACATGTGATGATGAAAGGGTGTTCTCCAAGATCAGCAGCTTCCCGAATTCAATGTGGAATGTATTCGTTAAGGCCTTGCTTTTGTAAGCCACCTGATCCTGGCTTTGGGACCCTCAAGGTATTGATCATTCCACTGCCTCTACAAGATTTTTGTAAGCTTTACTCTTTGCTATTTTGTTGTATGTCCCCAACCAAGCTGCTGATAAGACTTAAGGGCCATATCCATGGTTCCTGGATAATCTGCTTTTAAGAACTGTTATTTCTTGGTGATATCTTATTAAGTCTCTAGTTCTTTCAAGACCAATCAATTCTTCAGCTATCTTCTTGTAATCATTTTAATTTAAGTATACAATCATAATCCTCCAATCTTACAACACATCTAATAGTACATGCCAGCAATGTTCAAGTTCTTGAAAAAAATTTCTTAACAGGTAACACCTTTACAAACAAATCTAGTGTAACGATATAGCTGGGTGGTTCTGGTTAAAGTGAGGAGGGTCCCCTCCTCCCTTCCCTCATCTGGAGGGCCTCTGTGGCACTTTCACAGACCTCCAGGGCTCTGCAAAACCCAGTGTGAAAACCTCTGGTCTGTCATCTACGTCACAATGAGTACCAGTCGCTTGTACTGCACTTTACAAATTCAATTTGTGTATGTTATACCTTAAATGCACCTGGAGCATATACTGCTTAAAAGAACCCTGATGTAAATTCTTATGTACAGTGAATAATCATAGCTTGTTTTATCCATTTTTAAAGTTTAGATTTCCACACATTGAACTTTCTTAAATCAAGTACCTAAAGAAGGAATAAAAGCAGTTTTATTTTGGCTAGTCTTATGAAAACAATCACTATTTCTCACTTCTGTGCACTCTTCAACCAACAGATGTCACTAAAGATACCAGTACCCAGAGGCAAAGGGAAGAAAAGATTAGACAAATGGAAATTGAGCATAAAAAACACCCAGTTCTTAAAACTGAGATGTAGGTTTCCAAAGTAATAACATTTATTACACTGCATGCAACATTTTAACCAAAAATTTAAGAAAGAAATTTCTTTTATTAAGTTTCTTAGTCTGCATGGATCACAGCATTAAGTTTTGAAATACAAGTTGTTGAAGCAATTTAAGACTCATTAGAAATAATGGGCTTGGGCTAGTAGAAAATGTGGTAAAATTTAATCCTCATCCAAATGTTACCTGGGTTGTACAAACAGGAAATTGTTTTGTGCTACTGTGGCTAACCTCATTGCTGACCCTGAGCTGTAACAGCAACAGCAGCTGAGAGCTGAAGCAAAATTAAAAACTTACATCAAAGTATATCATGACAGAATGTAGATAAATAAAACAGCATATCAAAAGTATTATTTTTCTGCCGGTCTCATACAGCAGCAAGGTGGAGGTATTCTACAAAATATATAACAAATCAGGTGCATTTGGAAATCAGTCCTTCTCCCTCTGCACTGCCCTAATTATTGACTTCCTAAATACTGCCCATGAGAGGTGAGCAGAGAAGAAGCCCAGTGAAGATGGGGACAGAAGGGATCAGAGAATATTCTGGCCTCTTTCCTCTACGGGCTTCTTCCTTCACCTTGGCTTACCAAAGAAATAAAGAATGCTGGCTCTTCTGTGTCCTTCCAGTCACTCTTTCTCTCATCTTCCAGACTCCTAGATAGCAACCACATAATCTTCCTCCAATGAGCATATTAGAATCTCCAGAGGCAAAAGCATAGGTAATAAAACAGTCACGCACAGTAAAGACAGACAAATCAGCTTGGCTGATGGGTGTCGGCATGGGAACCAGTGGAGGTAGAGAGACATTTTTCTATTACTCTAAGTAAAGTATGCATCAAAGTCACTGTTGACAGTTGAAGAACATTTTTCCATTGAACCTTTGGTTTCACTTAAGTTTATGGGTAGAAATCACTGAACCTTTGATTTCCCTTAAGTTTGGGCATAGAAATTTTTAAAATACTTTAAAAAGCAGTGCTTCATCATAAACATCCAAGATACAATCTTCCTGTGGCAACTCAAGAGGCAGTAAGGAATATGACTACTGTCTGAAGTCATACCGACTTTGAATGAAATTCCAATTCAACTACTTGCCAGCGTTAATACTTGGCAAATTTCCTAAACTCTATGAACTTCAATTTCTTCATAGCAATAACCATAGTAGCTATCTAGTCTAAGGGCTTTCCATATACCATCTAACTGAATCCACACTGCAAACCATCTTATGAAGTAGGTATTGTTTTCCCAGTTTAATAAGAAACTAAAGCAAGAGCAGCTAAGCAACATAACCAAGGTTGCATAACCAGTGAGTGACATGTAACTATACCTACCTTGAGGACTCAACAGGGTAATATATGATAAATGGTCTAACATAGGACCATAGAGCTGATTTAAAAAATTAATGCTACCATTATTGTTAGTTTAAATTGAGGAGCAGAGCATTACTCTAACCTCCTAGTCTTTCTTCAGGGTAAGAAAATTCCTTACTGGCTTTTCTTCTCAAAAATGCTTTCAAGGTTTTTTCTCATTCTATTTCCACCTCACTTTTCCTCTCCCTTCCCTTCTGTCTCCTCTGACTCCTCTTCCAATGTAATCCTCAGATAGGTATCTTTCTTAACTCTTGCTGCAGTGCATCTCCCCCCCCATAGGGGGAATGGATAGCATTTGAAACCCATAGATTTGGCATTGTATTCTATGTGATTCCCTTTCAGTGTCACTTGCTGGACATATATTCAGTTCTAGAGAGCCAATGATACTGGAAGAGGAAGAGGTCATTGCTGTTAACAAACTTGCAATACTGAATAAGCCCCAAAAGAAAAAAAATACATTTAATGCAAGAAACAACCCAGAGAAAGGAGCAGGAAACATAAAATTTGTGACTGGTAACAGGAATCTAATATTTGTATAGTAAAGGCTCTATTGATTACTAAGGAATTCTTATACATGCACTGTTTATTTCCTTTAAAAAAGTGAGGAAATAGAAACTCAGCACTGGCTACAGGCCGAAGGAAGCAAGACAGTGTGGTCCAAGCAGGATATCCCTGAATGAAAAAGCTACATGGGTCAGTGAACCCCTGTCCAAAGAAAATTGACTTGGTGAGTATAAGAGAAAGACTTTAGATCAAGGATAGGCACAGTCAATGAGTACCTCTTCTGTGTTACCCCCCATGCAGGGCCCTTCATCCAGAGTAGCTCAGTTAACCCCCCTGATCCTAACTAGGTAGGTAGGTCAGTAGGGTATTTATTATGCCTAATTTTATATACGAGAAAACTAGGCACAAAGAGGTATAGTGTCTCAGCTGAAGGTCATGGAGTTGACAAGAATTCGAACTAGGATTAGTACTCAGACCTTTTAATTTCCAAAAACTGTGATTTTTAAAAAATACCATGCTGTTTTTGGAAAAAGGCCCATATATGTATCTCAGTATGATAAAACATTGAAAGGAATTAGATATACTATGAAAGTAAGGAAACCATATATAGAATATTTTAAAAGGGGTACATTTTTACCTTTAGGAGGCAAAGTGTTTCTACTTTAAACGATTTTAATGTGTCTGTTTTCAAACAGATGCAAAAGTTGTGGCAATGCAGTTACTGGTACAGACGAAAATAAGAGTGTGCGAGTTTACTGTCTTAAATAGGTACTTTCTGTAGTTTCCATACACTTACTATCTCAAGCTCTATAAATCAAATGTGCAATTAAAACTAAGCATTTTTAATGGAGGCCTACAATGTATACAGATCAGAGCCCCAGAATGTGTTCTAAACTGAAGTAAAAACAATTTAAAATACATGTTTTTCTGATTTTTTAACAGACTTTTACTTTTTAAAAAGTAATATGCATTTAATGGTTTTTCCTACACACTCATGTACACAGACACACAGAGTCAAAAATAAAGAGGCTTTACAAAATTTTGTAAAATCTGTTTCTAGGTACTCAAAAAGAAATATGAGAATCACAGGCAATTTTTGAGGCCAAATATAATTAGAGTTGGCTGCTGATTTGGAAAAGTAAGGCAAAAAAGATGACAAAGAGAGGACACAGGGAAACATCTCTTGTGTAGAAGTGCATTGCACAGATCTCAGCTCATAGTTGACATTCAGTAAGTGTGTACTAAATTAGTTTATAGAAGAGTCTTATCCATCCTATTTATCCCCATTCCCTGTCTATATAAAAGTTTCAGAGAGTACAGAATTTCATTAATGAAGTTGTCAGAATTGGCAGGTATTAGGGTTTATGGTAGTTAAGGTCCAAATTACTAACCAAATTTTAAAATTTTTGGACTGTAATTGAATAGGACCATCTTTACTGCAGAATTCTGCTTCTAGGGGTACAATAAGTTCCCTGAAATAAAATATTTACTGCTCTTTACAAGGACATTTCCCTCAAATTCGGTGACATATTGGTCTAAGCATTCCTCGACCCAAGATAGCGAACTCCCTGATTTGACTTTGAACAATTTTGAATGTGCTATAACTTTTCAAAATTCTATCTAGTGTATTTCCCTTTACCAACTGACACTGCAATTTTATCCAAAAGAAATTCATCAAGTTGGTCAGGCATGATTTGTGGTGAAAGGCATACCGCTTACTTCTGATGCCAATATGATAGCTACCTGGCTTTCTGCACTTCTATTACCCGCTTCACAAATTCATACAGATATGAAGGTTCAAAAGAAGAAAATAACCAACATCTTTCTTTCCTCCAAAGAGATAAAGTTATATTGCAGAGGCAAATATAGAAAACGGTACTCACCATAAGTGCAAATCATTTTACTAGCTTCTCTGAAGAGAAGAATTCCATTAGGAGATGATACATCAAAATTCAAACGCTGGGATCTAAGAAATATAGCAAAAAATTAGAACATGTGTGCAGACAAAGAAACCAAATACAGGTTTAAAATGTCCAGCATTTTCATTTATTAGAAGGAGCAGCAGTACAATTACCCCTTAAAGTGCCATTCAACAACTGTTGATAAAAAATGTATGCTAATTTTTTCGTTATATAGTAGAAAAATAAAGAAGAGTTATTTTCATTTATTTGCTGATTCAAAGAGTTCATTTTTTATCTATTAAAACAATATCCTGACATCCTATTTCACAGATCTCTTGCCCCTTCTCCTTTCATGCAAAGTGGTTGCTTGATAATAATAATAAAAAAAAACCCAGGTATATATGTGTAAGTTTATAGAATACTTGGATAGATATATATTTACATTTGAGATCTCCTATAGTGCCTAATACACATTTTAAAAACAAATTCTAATGTAATATATAGGGAATCCAGGTACCTTTAATACTGCACTTATGCATAATGAGTCATGTGATATTTCACGCATATTTCAGACACATTAAATTACCCTACAGATTATAGTTTCCACTGCATATAGCTTAAGTAAAGAAAAACAAATTCTAGAAGTTCACGGAGAACAATTCTATTTCCCTGGTTCCTAACAGGTGGCGAAACAGTATGAACCAGGTCAAAGACTGACATGTTATCTTGACGTAATATTTGCTTTTTTAATATGACCTTAGCTTTAGTTGGCCCTAATATGCCTTATTGTTGTGCTTTCAAGAAATAATGGCATATTTTATAAAAGGATTAGCAAAAAAAATACCTAAAGGCAAAGACATTGGTAAAGTCCTGTTTACAGGACTTTATACAATTATAACTTATTAGAAATATTACAAGGGTACTTCAAAAAATTCACAGAAAGATTTGTATTATCTTTTAATTCCATTTTTCCACAAACTTTTTGAAGTATCCTTATATTACGAACATTTAATTGCTGGCATAAAGTTCCTAGTTAAAGGAAATAAATAAATACATACATATATATATATATATATATATATATATAAAATTCCCATTAGATTCTAGAGAAATACAGATAAGATAAGATAACATATTTTCTGAGATAACAGATTTTTACTACGTAGTTCTTAGGACAATTGTGCTACATATGAATTATCTGCCTATGGCAGACATAAAATACTTTACACAATGCAATGATTTTTTTCTTCTTTAGTATTAAACGTTATATCAGTAATATATAATATCAATTATCTGGTTAAAAATTGGAATATAAACTTAAAACAAACTAAATTTCTAATATAAAATACAAAGCTATCCTTCTTTTAATACAGCTTTCAAAAGAACACTACTCACATTTATTTGCCAGGTCTTTTCCACCTCATTTTATAGTAAAAGTTTTAAATTATTGTTGTAAAAAACTCAGCACCAGAGATAAAATCAGAGCTGCATCCCATACTCCTTCCCTGTTTGGTATCTCCCTTCCAACACATAGTTTACAAAGAGAAATTGCTAAAACTGGATAGTTAAGTGACAGGTAATTGGTGCTAACCCATATCCAAAATGACACACTTTAAAGAGATAAACACAATTAGCTTATTACAGTTTTTCTCTTTCAGATACATCTTCATTAATATTTATATGCAGAGTATTTCAATCTCTACTGCTCTATGCAAATTATTAGGTCAACCAGGCAATTTCTGTGAAGTGTTGTAGTTGCTATTTCAATGACAATTGTGAGTGCATAAATCATCCAAATACATTCATCTTGGCATAAAGGAAGAAGCATAACTTAGAAGTCAATACCCAGAGCCCCTGAGGCAAACAACTCTGTGCCCAAGAATTGCTTTGGGACTCAGCTTCCTTATCCATAAAATGAAGCATTTCAACTCAAAGACCTCTAAACTTCTTTCCTTCTTTAAAATTTTAAAGAATTACAGTTAAGCAGTGAAATAGTTAAAATAGCTGCCCTCCCTCCATTTTGTGACTTTGAATATTTTAAATAATGGTGGCTATAGTCTTTTAATTTTTTTCCATATGTAATAATCCCCATATACACTGAAGTTAACCATACCTCTTTCTCCCCAAAGCTCTCAGCTTTAAGTCTCTAATTCTATTGTTTTCACTGATCATCTTAAGTTTTGGTTCTTGAACTCTTGTTAAGCCTTAAATATACACACACCAGGCAGGAAAGTCTGACCTTTGGAGATTGCTACCAATGGTAGTTTTTCCACTCTGTATGACACTGCTTACCTATTTTGCATCAGTTCTGCCATAAGTTTTAAGATGGGAGTTGTACATGCTGGCTCTCCATACCACCGTTCAATAGCCTTCTGAAGGACAGGAAGATATGTTGGATACCTTTATTCAGCCTGTTAAAGAATTTACAGGCCAAAAAAAAAACACTTTCTGAAAATTAGTCCCACTTAAAAAGAAAAGAAGGATACCCACATTGTTTCTATGTTTAGTATACAATGGCAATTTTATAAATTGCTCTCCAAAGCTATACGTACTTTCTTGGCTACAAGTGATTTGCTCTTACTTGTAACACGTCCCATATATTATTTTGCTTTCTTCTTGGCATACTTAGCCCAATACACCTATCTTTTTCTCATATATGTTCATATGGCCCTTTGCATGCATCTTTGTTATAACACACTGATATTTCATTGTTTATTAGTTATTTGTAATCCTCCAGATTATGAGCTTCTAAAGAGCAATCTGTTTTACTCATTCTTGTATTCCTTGTGCCTGGCTGAACAAACAGTGATTTTTCAAGTTTACTTCCTTTCTTATTTTTGTTTATTCAACATGATATTGCCAATTACTTTCTTCTTGAAATACAATTCTGATTTTGTTACTTAATCAAAACCATCAATTTCTTTATACTATCTATGGAAAAAGGGTCTGCATTCTTAAGCCCAATACTTGAGAGTCCCAGACAGCCTACATTCCCAACCATAAAATAAGTGGTATCTATCTACAACAAAACATCTTCTCCACTACTCCTTTCCTAAACCTGATGCTTAGGCCAACGGAAAACCTGTCCTTCTTCCTATTTCCACATGGTCCAGTTCTACTTATTTGGTAAGACACAGGGCAATATCTTCATCTTAACAGAGCCCTTCCTGATTTCCCAGCTAAATGCAATCACTCTTTTATCTGTATCTTTATTATGGCACTCACCACTTGCTATATTTTATTATAGCCATTTATATAGCTATCTAATTGACTCTATTTGGGGTAGGATTTGTGTCTGAGCAATCTATAACCCTCATGAAACCTAGCATAATCCTTAGCCCAATCTGCTGAATAAGAAAGTGAGATTCCTTTGTTTCATTCCGTATTAGGAAAAGGAACTAACAACAGTAATGGAGTATTTACTTTGTGCCAAACAGTGTATAGACACTTTTACATAATCACAGAATCACAAAACTTCTTATAACACACCTGTGAGATAGGTATCATTAATACTACTTTACGGAAGAGAAAACTGGGATTCTGAAACATTAAGTAACCTTCAGGTTTTTAAACGGTGATGCTAGGACTGGATTGAAGTACTATTCCAAAGTTTGCACTCTTCTACATATTTGATTGTCTTGCCTTTTCTTTGTATAACGTGTTATGTATATTAATAAACAGTACTGACAGCCTGAGTGAAAAACAGTGGACTCAAAACTCAGATTATGACAAAAGACTAAGCGTGCCAAGGGCAGCCCCCTCTACCTGGAAGCAGGCAAGAAAGCATGCCCGGGGTCCTCAGCAGGAGCCAAGGGCAGCCAGCTCTGTCGAAAAGCAGGCAAGAGAGTGTGTCTGGGGTCCTAGGCAGGAGCCAAGTGCAGCAACCCCCGCTGGGAAGCAGGCAAGGAGCACACTGAAAACACCACTTCCACATGGGTGGCCCACCACAGCCACTGCCACAGCCACAGCTGCCGCAAAAGTAGCAGATGCCACAGCAGTAGCCATAGTTACCATGCAGGTGGCCTGCCAGACACTCAACTGCACTGACACAAGGAGAGTCACCAGTGGAGACCAGAAAAAGAAGAGGACATCTCTTTCCTCAAAGCCTATTCCAAAATAATAGAAGAAAAAACTGCTCTACCAGATGACCAGGCATCAACGTAGAGATAGTAGAAATATGAAAACCCAAGAAAATATTACATCACCAAAAGGATACAGTAATTCTCAAATACCAGACCCAATAAAGCAGAAAACCGCTGAAATGACTGAAAAGGAATTCCAGCCAACAATCTTAAGGAAACTCACTGAGATGTGAGAAAACTCAGTTAGACAACATAATGAAATAAGAAAAAAAATCCAGGATATGGAGGAAGAAATTTAAAAAGAGATTAATACCTTTAAAAAGAATGTAGCAGAACTCATAGAACTGAAGGATTCACTCAACAAAATAAAAAACACAACCAAGAGCTTAAACAGCAGGCTAGAACAAGCAGATGAAAGAATTTCTGACCTTGAAGACAGTCTTTTCTAAATAACCCAGGCAGACAAAAACATTTGAATCATGGGTATTCCAGAAGGAGAAGAGAAAGGAAATTGCATGAAAAATATATTCACCGAAATAATAACAGAAAATTTCCCAGGTATAGGGAGAGACATGGACCTTCACATCTGGGAGGCTCAAAGATGCCCAAACAGATTCAACCCAAAAAGATCATCTCCAAGACACATTATATGCCAACTGGCAAAGTTCAAAGACAAAGAAAGAATCTTAAAAGAAGCAAGAGAAAAGCATCAAGTCACCTATAAGGGAGCCCCTATCAGATTAACAGTAGACTTCTCAACAGAAACTCTACAGGCCAGAAGAAAATAGGGTGATACATTCAAAAAACTGAAAGAAAAAACTGCCAGCCAAGCATACTATACCCATCAAGGCTATCCTTCAGAAATGAGGGAGAAACAGCATATTTTCCAGACAAACAAAAACTGCAGGAGTTTATCACCACAAGACCAGCCCTTCAAGAAATCCTCAAGGAAGTCCTGCATCTGGAATCCAAAAAACAATAATCACTACCTTGAATACACAAGAAAGAACAAAACCCACTGGTAGAACAAAAATGCAAATGAGAAAGAGAATGAAACTGAATTTTACTATCACAAAAAACCGTAATGACAATACAATAATGACCCTGCTTTATTTCTTGGTCTTCTTTTTTTCTTGCTTAGTCTAGATAAAGATTTGTAAATTTTGCTCATCTTTTTAAAGAATCAACTTTTGGTTTTGTTGATTTTCTCTACTGTTTTTTAATTCCCTTTTGTAATCTTTGTTACTTTCTACTTATATTTGCTTTCTTCTTTTCTATTTTCTTAAAGTACAAGTTTACATTTCTTATTTGAGATTTTTCTTACTTTTAATATAGGTGTTTACAAGTATAAATTTTCCTCTAAGCACTGCATGAGCCCTGCATCCTATAAATTTGGATATGTTGCACTTTGGGGGGTAAAAACAAGACAAAGTGTGAAGAAATAATGTCATAAACAATCCTTCCCTGCTCCCCCCAACTTCCCTCTGGATTTTTGATACTTCAGTGTAAGTATGATCAGGGAAAAGTTTAAACAAGGTGGTTAAATACACTGCAAGATAAAGTGTTTTTTCTTTGCTGTGTTACCACAACAGAGGCAAAGAAGTATATTGATGTCCTCCTTCAATTCTCCAGTCATGGAAACAATTTATCAAGATGGTTGCTCTGTCATTTCAGGCAATTTAGTTTTGGAAGGACAGAGTGATAAGCAATTTCGTTGGTGTAGCAGTTAATGCAGTCAGTGTTTACAGAAATGTTTTTGAATTAAATAGCTAACCACTAAAATAGCATTTTATCAAATAATCACCATAAATAAAATGCATTCTGACTTTAAGATGACATGTGCTCTTATAGGATGTTTCTTCTGCATGCTGAAGATTGTATAACAAATTAAAGAACACATATTTATATGGATAAAAGACAAATATACTTTCCCCAGCAGTAATGTGGGAATCATCACTGAAGGTTTGACATATCAATATTTCAGGAAGAATGAATGACTTTCATATCCACGCTTTTTTTATCATACACTTATTCATTTTTGCATTACTCGAATACTTTGAAAATAACCTGTACTTTATCACCTGAAACTGCTTAAAGTATTTCAAAATATTTTAATAAAGCTTTTTGAATTATCAAATAATGTAACTTTTAAACAAATTTAACTATTATTATAAATATTTGCTCTTCATCCCTTGCCCAAAGGAAAACTATAAATCTTGTCTCAGCTGAATGAACACCATTTATCATATTCATTTTGTTGTCAATACAATTATGAAAAGCCTTTGGCCTTTTCCCAAGGAAGCTGATTTGCTACTGAAACTCAATTATTATAAGTAAGGCCAGTACCAAACCACCCTATTTGGCAATCTAACACAGCTTCCTGCACAACCAACACTTTGTCCTCTGCCCCTGACCTTAATAAACTTCAACATCTATGGTCAAATGGAGGAGACAATGGTTTCTAGTTCAAAACAAAACATTAAGTCCCAAGATTTTCTGTTTGCTATTTTCTGCCATCTGGTGGACAAAAGTTTCATTTCAGATAGGTGCCAAAAAGAAGGAGCTAAATAAGAAAATAGAAAACAGACAATTAAAAACTTAAATTACAATGTCTTCTAGAAATTTGGGGCAGTAACAACTATGGCAGATATTTTTATTCTTTGGCACTGAGGGGAAAGTTTGTGACCTTGACTCTTTGTTAAAACTGAAGAGGAAAACATGAAATGTTAGTCGCTAGACAGCCTAGAGTTATAGCTTGGTTCCAAGATCATCTTCAATTTCAAAGTGCCCAAACTAGATTTTTATGATTTTTTCAAATACATGAAAGTTTTGACTTTGGGAATTGCTATTTATGTTTAGAAAAATAAAAAGGTCATATTTAATTCCAGTTTACCAGTCATAGCTAAAAGAATTATAAGACTTTCCATGTTAAAATTTACAATCTCTGAACATGTACATTACATGTTGATATAAATACAGCATGTGCATGATTCCTCAATGACACAGAAAAATCTTATCTCTAATCCTTCTTAGGGTACATAAATCTGATGAAGTGTGTTTAACAGTCACTAAAATTGTCAGTATTCAAATTAATGTTTAAAATTTTTTATAAAGTGTAGAGTTCTCCCTAAAGCATGCTTAGATGACCTGTTACTTATGTTTTTGGCCACAACTGTGGCACAGTAGTTGAAGATTGCCTTTAAGAAGTTTTTTTGTAATTTAATTTATGAGGGAAGTTTGGATAAGAAGGGTTTGAACAAAGCAATTGAGAAACACTATAACTTAAAAAGTAAATTAGCTTTACGACTATAGAATTTTTCTTATATGCTCTGATGGTTTCATGTATTAAAAGGCATAAAACCATTATATTACACTTATATGACACATAAATTGTCACTTCCTGTTAGGATCAAAGATGATTTGTATAATACTATTAAAACAGTATTAATAATAACCATTTATGACTACTGAATATGTGCCAGACATTATACAAAATGTATTATCCTATTTTAATGGTCACAATAAACTATGCTATTGCATTGTCTCCTTTTTCAGATGAAAAAAATGAGACTCAGAGAAGTAAAATGACTTGCCAAAGTTTACACAGTAAATGAAGAGCTGGGATTTCAAGCCTCATCTGTCTGACAACGAGGTCCATGCTGTTTTTACTCTTAAACGATGAAGCATTTCTGTGGGAGACTTTTTTCCTCTGTCTGTATTAAGCCTTGGCAAAGGTAAATTCAAATTTTGTACCAAATGACAAATCCTGACACTTATTTCCCCCTTTTCGTGTCCATTAATATTTTCATGATGATGAAAAACTGTACCATGATGAGTTAAGCCTCAAAGAGATAAAGTGACCTTCTGAGCCCTGCTAATTGAGATGGAGTAGACATTCAAATCTCCTTGAAAATGCCAAATGGTAGGATTCACTGATCCCAAGTAAATATGTTCACCAGATTATCCCTGCAACCCTAACATAAACAACCATTTGGGGGAAGTGATTTTTAAATTGTCAATATTAAATGACACCAAAAAAGTGACCTTTCTGAGCTGGGTCTCCAAATGCTATGCTCAGTTATCTGCACTACTGCCACTGTGCTGTAATTTTTAGCTGATTACACATTAGTTCATTTAGCTTTGTTTCCTCTTCCCTACTGTGCCATACTATTAAACGAAAGTGAGGGGCCTGGCATCCCTCTGTGCACAGAGCTGGTATTGTCACAGTGTAATAAGGATACATCCAGTCAAACAGCATGGCGTAGCTGGTCTTTGTGTTCAGTGCAAAGGCAATCCCTCGAAGATCTCTTGCCAGCCCGATCAACATACGCTGTCAGTGGGAAAGAGACACAGTAATTGATTTTCACGTTAGTGCAGAGCAGATGGAGTAATAATCAGGCAATAATGACCACATATCTGATTTTGATTCATTAGCTAAAATGTCTCGCTCAGATCCCTTTCTACAGAACATCATAGACTCTTTAAACAGACCATCAAATCTGCTGACCAACTCCATTTTGCTTCTTACAAATTGAGCTAAGTCATAATCCCAGTAGCTTAGCTAAACATTTAGATTTTTAATATACTGTTCCTAAATAATGCCGAGTTAGAAAAAAAAAAAGCAGATTGATAATTTCACAAAATAGGTATGTATAGGGTCTAGACATTATTTAATAATAGCAAATCTTAACAACATTGGCTTGGGTGAAATCAGTCCCACTGCACAATTTAGAGTCTATCCTGGAAATGCACTGGCATTTAAATATTCCTAATAAATATACTTAATAACTTAGGACAAAATGAAACTGGCTAAATGACCTACTGGTAGCATGATATACTCGGAATGGCAGTCACATTCCCCCAGCAAGGAAATGATGTAAGGAAGAGCCTATATTCAATGTCATAAGAATTGAATTTGAAACCCAGCTTTATTTAACACTAAGACTTAAGGCAAGGCACTGTATCAGACTCAGTTTTCTCATCTATAAAAGGGGCTAATAATAATAATGCCTCTTTCACAGAGGCATTGTGAGAAATAAATTTAATAAACTTATGTAAAAATGCCTAGCAACAGCCTGATACATAATAAGTGTTCCTTAAGTGTTTAGTTTTAGTTAGTTTTAGAGGGAAAAAACAAAAACTTGACTCGAATAAAAGAGCTCTGACTTCTACTCTGGACTCTTAATTAAGCTGTCCTTAGGATGATGCTTGGGAAGAGAAAAAGAAAACCCATGAACACATGCTAGAATGTCAGAACAAAGAGCACAAATAAACATAACTGCAAAACAAAAGGGTGAGATAATTGAGATATGATGCTGTGATTTCTGAAGTTACTGTTTCAGCAGAAATATTTTGCCAGAAAATGGTCTCTGAACTTTTCTTTCTACCAAATTTTCTCTTTCCTCACACTTTGGTAATAAGTGAAAACCTCTTTAGTAAGGAGTTTAAAATTATCACTAAGGAGGCAGTGAATTCTGGCCTTCATTTTAATGACTGAATAACATTTCAGAGAGGCAAATAACAGTTTAACTGTCTGAAGTATCGGGAATTTCTCATCCTCCCCTTCCCCTTCCTACCTAAAAGGTAACTCAATATAACTGTATGTTGTTCATAAGAATATTCAGTTTCTATACTGTCTAACACCATAAAATGATTATCTGAATTTCTGAATCTGAAAAATCTGCTTTCTGTTTTTGCTTCTTTAAATGACTAACTCCATTCTCTCTCATAATCTCACCAGTCCTCGTATCGGCTGGCCTCCTTGTGACCTATATTTTTAAAGAAAACATTTTGCCTTTTATGTAGCCTTTTTCACCTCCTGTCAACTGTTCCTTTCTCAGCTCTCCAAGTTCTCACAGCCTCCAGAACAAAATACATTTTCTAAGAAGGCTTCTCTGAACAACTCTATTCTGACTTGACTTTGATGTCATTCTATTAAAGTGGCCTTTTTGTTTTATTTTTATTATGTATACTTACAGGTTACAGGCTGGTCTTCAAATAATCTTAAACTTCAACTTACACATAAAGATACCCACATCTAAATCAGTCATAGAAACCATGAGTTTTACTTTCTTTGAGCCTAGTACAAAGGGCTCTTAAAATATTTCAGACTATCTTCATTATACAAAAAAAAAGGTTAATTTTATTTTATCCTATTTTTTTCCTTCCTTAAAAGATGCCAAGTTGGGCCGGCCCGGTGGCGCACTGCTACAGTGCGCCGCTTGGGAGTGCGGCAGCGCTCCCTCCGAGGGTTCAGATCCCACATACAGACCGGTTCCTGCT